TGGTTCGAGTCCTGGACCTGGTGGCTTAAACTCATGCTGGGCACATGTGCATGCGTGCCCAAGATCCCAAGAGGAGACTGGAAGAGAAGGGATTGCGGCATAGCCATCCCCCCCCCCAGGGGTGACTTCTCGCTTTCTGTCTCTCTGTCTCTCTCTGTCTTTCTGGCAAGCACACGCACCCTATAGCAAAGACCTCTCAAAAAAAAAAAAGTGAATAAATAAATAAAGTTAAATAAGCTAATTATTTTTAAAAAAGATTTAACTATATAAAAATAGATTTAACAATATAAAATTGATTTGACTGTATAGAAATTGAATCCTGTTGGTCAAAAACCAAAATAAAAGGCAACTGGGGCCAGCAGGTGGTTTGGTGGTTGAAGCGCTGGACTCTCATGTGGCTGACTGCAAATCAAACCCGGACCTGAGGGCTTGCTTTCCTGCTGTCCCTTTCACTCTCTCACTCTCTCTGTGTGTCTCTCCATCTCTCTCTGATGAGCACATGTGCCCTGTAGCAAAATTTAAAAGAATAATAATAGTAAATAAAATTAAATAAATCCTTTTAAAAAATAAGAAAAGAAGGCAACTAACTGGAGGAAATATCGGCTACGAATATAAGCACAGGTTAGTGTCATTCATACATTAAGTTAGGACTGGCAGGTGGTGTGGAGGTTAAGGGCACTGGACCCACATGGCCGACTGCATGGAGGCCAGGGGCTGTGAACTCAGTGCGGGGGTCTGAACACCTGCACTAAGAGTTGGTTTCGCGGCAGTCGCCATCAAACGGGACGATCTCTGTGCCTCTCTGTGCCTCGTTTTCCTTGTCACGAGGCCCTGTGGTTGCTTTCCTGCTCCTGTTTGGTCCAGCCCCCGCCCCCCACCCCCCACACACACACAAAGATCAAACCTCCAATCAATCAGAAGCATTTGCTTTGTAACGAAGCGAAGAGGACATGGGAGTGAGCAGTCACATGCTGGGGCCAGCAGGTGGCGTGGTGGTTGGGGTGCTGCACTCCCACATGACGGACTGTGGCTCGGGTCCTAGACCTGGCAGCTTGCTTTCTCATTTTCCCCTCTCCCTCTCTATCTCTTTCTGGTCAAATAATGATAATAAATAGGTAAATAAATAAATAAGGTGCTGAGCTGCCTCCCCCCGGGTTTGCCCAGAAACTGGGGCAATGCTGGTAAATAAAAGCATGGGTGACGAAGATGCACTTTAGCAAGGACGAGGCGCACAGGGTGAGGCCAGGCATGCAGTTGTGAGTGGGGGTGAGACTCCCCACAATGAACCTCTGTCTCCCTGACCCTCCACCGCTCGAGACGCCCTCCCCTGGCCCTCGGGTCCCTGCCCGGCATTCCAGCCTCATGCTGCCATCTTCTCTCCCCAGGTGCGCCTTGAACCAGGATGGCTGAGCCCCGCCAGGAGTTCGACATGATGGAAGATCATGCTGGAACATACGGGCTAGGGGAGAGGAAAGACCAGGGGGGCTACACCCTGCTCCAAGACCAAGAGGGTGACCTGGACCATGGCCTGAAAGGTTAGTGGACCGTGGCCACGCACTACCACCGACCTCGCTCTGGCAAGGGCTGGCAGGGAGGACTCACAGCCTGGTTTTCGAAGGAGGGTTAAATACTTGATCGTGCTGTGGGTAGAGCGAAGCCTCATTAATCTGAACGAGCAAAGGTAACTCAGTATGGGAGGGTATTTGAAAATGTACCTTTCCTGCACCAGTAGGTGGCGTGTTGGTGAAGGCGCTGGATCCCACGTGGCCAACTGTGTGGTTTGAGCCCAGGACCTCATGTCTTGAAGATCGCCCCCTGTGGGTGTACTGTGTGTGTGCCCAAGATCCCAGGAGGAGAACGCAGGGTACAGGACTACAGTGCGGCCATCTCTGGGGTGTGCTTTCTGTCTCTCTCTCTCTCTCTCTCTCTGTCTCTGTCTCTGGCAAGTGCACATACTCTACAACAAAAACGGAAAAAAAAAAAAAAAAAACCCAGAAACAAAAAGAAAATGTATCTTTCCAAAGGAGAGATTGCCGCGGGAGAGAAAGGTGGCATGACCGAGATAACTGGGGCTTGTCACCTTGTTAATACTGGTGCTCTGTTGAGTCTTAGACCACAACTGTTAGCCTGTAAGTCAGTAATGTTCATTAGCATGTAAAATATGTGGCTTTGTAAAAGTTATTTTAGTTAATTTATTATCATGATGATTATTTGTTCATTTGATCAGGGAGAGACAGAGAAAGAAAGAGAAAATAGGAAAGCAAGCCTCCAGGTCTGGGACTCAAACTATGGTCAGGCATGTGGGAGTCCAGCGTCTTAACCACCATGCCACCTGCTGGCCCCAATATGTGACTTTTTAATCTCTTCCTTAAATTTAGTCTGTTTGTCCCTACTTGGCAAAAGTCGGTAGCCTTGGGGTTCTTACAGTATTCCCATTAATTAACTACATTGTCTTCTAAATGTTCTGTAATACAGTCTTTTGGCCAAGTTGACCTGGCCTCCCTGTCTGCCTTCCAAATGAATGAGTTGCTTTCCACTGGCCGCTGTGTTTGGGGAGCGCTTAGGGCCCCCAAAACCCCCTTTGGCTCCGGATGATGGCCCCTCACATGCAACGGGGAACCCCATCTGGCCCAGGGCACTCCCAGGGGGTGCTGGTGGCAAGTACTCCCAGGAGGATCCCACGATGCGGTCCCATCTGAGAACTCAGACTCCGTTTCCAGACCCCAAAATGCAGAGTCTACTCTCCCTTTTAAAGCTAAAAACAGCAAAATGTTTCGCAGTCCAGCGTGTGGGGTAGTGGCTGGAAATCCCAGGGCCCCCAGTGGGAGGTCCTCGCCGAGCATCTATCCAGCACGTGCCCTGGACACTAAGGTCACCAGCGGTGGCCGAGAGGTTCCGGGGCATGGGATACAGGGACTGCTCTCCAGCTCCCAGAGGAGCAGTGGGAGGCCTGGGTGGCCTCAGGCCTCGTTGTGGGGGGCCCGGTTTCAGTGGGGAAGGTGTTGTTTTATTTAGGAGGAGCTTGGTCTGAACAAAAGGATATGAGGTGACCACGGTTTCCTTTTTTTTCCTAACTTCATTTCTCACTCTCTGGGCCTGCTCTGTTTTTCATGCTTTTATAGAAATAACATGTTATCAAGGCCCTCTCTCTCACTCGTAACTGGTCTACCGTTCAACAAAACTAACAAGGAAAAAAGATTTCCGGCTGTCCAGCGCAGAGCCTCGTGAATGTGTTGATTTTTCTTTCATGGTGGAGAAACAAGGGATGTTTATATAGGTGTGCTTTGTTTTTAAACTGAAATTGTTTTTGAATAATAAAAATGAAATGTTTTGGGGCCGCAGATGGCGTGATGGTTGGGACACTAGACTCCCACGTGGCCCAACCATGGCTCGAGTCCTGAACCTAGAGGCTTGCTTTCTCACTCTCCCTCTCGCACTCTCTCTCTCTGTCTCACTCTGGCCAAGTGGAAGAAAAATTATAAACAAATAAAATTTAATTGATAATTTTTAAAAACTGTTTTAAAAAATTATACATTTCATTGTTTGATAAAAGAGAGGAGTTTGGGACTTAGAAAGGGGGTCCAAGTTGGGGGGGAAGACAGGACACACCCTCCGGGGAGCACAGAGGCCCCAGGAGTTCCGGGGGAGTGGTGGAGGGGAACTGCAGGCACCAGCCTCACCTCCTCACCTGGGGTTGGGCAGGGTCCCCTACAGTGCCCCACGGAGGGCATCTGTGGTTCTGGTGGCTGTTCCATGTCAGAAAAGCAGTTTTCTCTGCAGGTCCTTCTGCGCCTCTCTCCTTACCCTCCTCACCCCATCTTCCATCCTTCCTCCTATTTTCTCCATTTCCTACTTCCCTCTCTTTCTCTCTTCCCTCTTTTTTCTCTGCTGCCTCTGATCCCGTCTTCTTCACCCCCTTTCTCCCCCAACCCACAATGCCCAGCGTGAATAAGTGAGGGTGGTGGTCCCCATGACCTCAACCCCAAAAGGCCAGCAGACAGGTTTTCTCTCTACCTCCCTCCCGTGGCTGGTGTTTCGAGGGAGTTGCAATTAGGGGGCGGATTCTGCCCCTTCCCAACAAAGGCCCTGAGTCCCAGAGTCCCTCACCAGGTGCTCAGGACCTGGCGTGGCGTCCTGCACAGGTGTCTGCACGTCTGTCCTGCAGGTTCTCAGCACTACTCTCGCTGCCAAGAGTCCTGGCTTCAGTGATAAAGCATATGGCCACTCTGCTTACTTTTATTTTATTTTATTTTTAAGGTTTATGCCATAGGGCACATGAGCCTGCCAAAGAGAGACAAAGAGAGGGAAAGTGAGAAATCCCGCCCCCTCCCCCAGGGGGATGGCCACGGCACAATCCCTTCTCCTCCATTCTCTTGAGATGTGAGGCACATGCTCCCAGCTTGACAACGGGTCCAGAATTCAAACTACGCCACCTGCTGGCCCCATGTCACTCTACTTATAAAGGAACTACCCCAGTGATGAATGGGGGCACTTTGCTAGTACTCTGCTGTTCTAGAACCTTCACCATCACCATCGACCATCTCAAGCGATGCTCTCAGCCCCTGAGGGCACAGCACTTTCCCTTTACTGATAACACATGAAGATCGGCTAAGATTCTGGGCTCGTAAGTGCGCTGTTAGATCAGAATCCTGTCTTCAGTCCCACGATAGCCGTCCCTCACTGCCCACCCTCCCCCGCCTCGTCTCTTTCTGCCAGGTCCCGGGAACTTCAGTTATTAAGCTCCCCTGGGTGGAATCTGAGTTAGAATCGCCTCACACTGAATTCCTTCCCTCATGGATTGTGCCAGTGAACAGTGACACTGTACAGGGGTCTTCAAAATGGCCCAGGGCTTAAGGGAGTTAGATCCCACATGGCTGACTGCATGGCTTGAATCTTAGCCCTGGCAGCTTGAAGAGCTACTGGGCATGTGTGTCCAAAATCTGAAAGGAGGCGGAGACGGAGGAAAGGGGATTGCAGTGCGACCATGCCCCTTGGGAGGTGCTTTCTCCCTCCCCTCTCCTTTTCCCACTCTGTCTCTCTGTCTCTGTCTGGCGAGTACACATGCCTTCTGGCAAAAAAAAAAGGAGAAAAAAATGATCGGCGATGTATATTATGAAAAAAAACTCTGCGTATATCTTAAGGTATTTTTACACCAAAATAAACTCATAGTTTAATTCTATTTTTCTGTGCACTTTTTAAAGCCCTCCCTCCCCAATTTAGAGGCAGGGCAACCAGGTTTTAAAATCAAGCTAAAAATATGGATTATGTCACAACAAATATCCTATCTATGTAAGATATTCATAATAGGGGAAACTGGGCGTGGGGTATACTCTTTGTACTATCTTCACAATTTTTCTAGAAATCTAAAACTGTTCTAAAATAAGCTTGTTTCAAATAAAGTCCAGGAAAAGTGATTTTTGAACCACCCTTTTTTTTTTTTAAGAGAAAACTAGATTCTCTTTGTAAAATAAGAACAAGCTTGCCAAGTTCTGTGTTCCAGGGTTACCTAAAATATGTTTGCCAAAAACAGTCCATTACTTAACATAAAACATGATCAGATGTTCTGTGCTAAACCAAAGAGACATGAAAAATATACATGTAATGCAAAATTTAAATCGCTAGTTGCTGGTCTTTTGGAAACGGCTATGACAGGACAGCATTTGAAATGTATTTTCTTATTCAAAGATACTTCCCAAGAAAAAGATACCTCCGAAGGTTTCATAGTTCTCGTTAAATTAATTCTTGCTACTGAGGGTTTAGAGGGAGCTATTTTCACATGGGGAGTGACAGGTTTAAGTTGGCAGAAGGTGTCACTGTACTAGCAACATTTTAGATAAGTGACAAAGACTGTTTTGAATAATGACAAGAAACTGCATGTAAAATACCAGAAGAGGTCTCTAAGTGGATGCTAAAATTTGAAGTGGGACTGGGTACAGCAAAGAGAGTTGCAAAGTAGGTGAAAGTGGGTTGACTGGTAAAATGATGCCCCCCAATGAATTAAAAGGTGTCTATGGGTTAACCTGCTCTGCCTTCCAGATAAGGCGTGGAAAGAGCTTCTTTCTTTCTCTCTAAGCAATTTGACAGAGAGAATGCAGACAATGAGGATTGCAGGCTCTGGGACAGACTGGGGGAGGGGGGGAAGCATGCTTCTGTGCAGACACCGCCATGTTGTTGTTAGCCGTTCATGCCCCATTAATGATAAGACCCAGGACACAGTCGACATGAATCTGCCTCATCGTTATGCAAAACCTCGAGACAGTCTGCAGGTTATTTATTTATTTTTCATTTTTTTAGGTTTTGCAATAAAACATATGAGCTTGCCCGAGAGGTGGTGAGAGGGAAAGTGAGAAATAGACCACACTGCAATCCCTTGTCCCCTGTTCTCCTCCCGGAATTTTGTGCACATATGCACACATACCTGGAGTGATTTTCAAGCCGCAGGGTCCGGGACTCAAACTGCAGTTGGGCATGTGGAAGTCCAGCACCTTAACAACTACGCCACCTGCTGGCTCACAGTCTTCATGTTTTTATAAGCTCTAGGTCCAGGGAGCTGCATGTGTGCCTGATGCAGGTTTAAAATGAGCCGTTCCTTGGCTACTTGGGCTCAGCCAGGACAGGGTGTTCTGGGACGGCATTTTGACAAAGGGTAAGGCGTGTCTGATATCACCCTGCATTTGGGCTCCACTTTGCTCAGCTTTGCGTTCAGCTGCCTGAAGAGAACCATACCCGCCCCCCATCGTTCCCACAGGGGTAACCATTACCAATTTTAATGTATTCCCCAAAATGGGCTCTTTTGCCATTTGATGTCACAGAATCAACTTAAGAGACTGAACCTGAATATTGACAGCACAAGTTGTATTAAAAGAATGGAGAAGTGGAAGTCCAGCTTGCAAATCTTCTGCTCACGTGTCTTGAACTGGGAATCTTATTTTCCTGGAAAAGGAAAGCACTTCCTGGAATTCCAAAACCTGCCTCTTTTTGCTTCTTACAAGGTTATTTCTGGTCACAACCATGGACACTGTCAACAGTCATGGCATTGGTAGGCGTGTCTTCCTGTATGCTAATGAGTACCACGAGGGTATGAAGCGTTGGAAGGTTAGGCAGCCTTTGGTCCAAGCGCCATCTTGGTTCTGAGTGTTTCGGGCTGGGTTGTCAGTGGGATCCCTGTCTTAACTACGGGCATGCCTTCTATTGCTTAAAGAAAAAATGTTAGTGAGGGGCTGAGGGATGGTTTGAGCATGGGCAGTATGGCGGGTGACAGAGCTGACCTCTCCATGGAGTTCAGTAGAGTCTCTTGAAGGGCATCTCCGCTGAGTACCCCAACCATACCACAGCCTAGCAAGTTGGATCACATTCATTGTACCTCCCAAACTGGACTGGTTTCTCCATGGCTGTTAGTGACGCCCCCACAACTGGTCCACATGACTCAGGCCAGTTCTTAGCCCAACCTTCCACAGTACCCTGGAGACTTCATCCTCCTCTCACCCCAATCTAGACTTCCTTGCTACGAACCTGGTTCGGTAGCAGCAGCCCCTCTCATTTACTCTCCCCTTCCTGTGTTTATTTGTTTGTTTTTAATTTTATTTATCATTATTATTATTCTTTAATTTGCTATAGAGCATGTGCACTCACCAAAGTGAGACAGACAGAGAGAGAGAAAGTGAGAAAGCAGGCTACCAGGTCCGGGACTCAAACCGCAGTCAGTCATGTGGAGTCCACACCACCTGCAGGCCCCCATCCCTGTTTTGTCATCCACTGAAGATGAGAGCCAGGAACTGTTCCTTGGAGCAGAACCGGCAGACTATGGCCCAGCCTGTGCTGTGCACCTGCAAGCCGAGAAGGGCGTTTACTCCCCCTACCGTCCATCTTCACGGCATCTGTGGTTGAGAAAGGCCACTGGAAATAAGAGTGCTGGGGGGACAGTTCTTCCCGGCGGAGGTCCTCCTGCGCAGATACTGTCCTGGCTGTCCTATCCAGAGACGTTCCCTGCAGTCTCCTCAGCCACCCCTGCCCTGGGGGCTAGAAGGTGTAGCCTTTTAACTGGGTCCAGCTGCACCCCAAATCCAGGCTCTGTTCAAGGGGAGTGGGGAGAATGGGCACCGACAGGCCCCTGGCCGGCTGTGCCACAGAGCAGCTACCTGCTCGGTGAGGAGTATCTCACGGGATGGTGACTACGAAGTGATGCCTGAATGGGTCGCATGTGGCCAGAGCCCATTTGTCCATCTGATGCAATGGTCAGCCACCTGCTGGGAGCCCCCTGGGATGCCCAGTCACCAGCATCACCAGCACTGTAAAAAACAGCCTCGAGTTCCTGCTAGTGAGCAGGGCTATGCTGACTGGCATAATAACAAGAATCACTACTGCCATGGAGGGTTCCTCACATGCCAGGCATGGAGCTGTTTTAAATGGGCTTGAAGCAGTTTCATGCCCATAGAAGCCCTCCAAGTGGGTGGAATGACTACCACGCCCGTTTTACAGGAGAGAAAACTGAGGCAGAGGGAAGACAGGGAACTTGCTCAGAGTCACACAGCCTGTAGGTGGTGTAGCCAGGGTCTGGGTCCCCTGCCTGACTCCAGAGGCTGTGATGTGCCTCCTGCCTTCCAGGTGTTAGTCCGCCATGAATAGGACAATTAGGCAGCAGAGGAAACCCATTTAACCAACACGCACAAGAGGAGTTTCTATCACACAGACGAGGGTGGGCTCGCCAAGCTAAAATCAGAGGAGTGTTGAGCTGATGACTGAGATGCTCCTGGGAAGATCCATCCAGTCATCCATCCACCCATCTAATCATTCAAGAATTCCTCCAGGGGGCCAGCAGGTTGAGGGCACTGAACTCCCACATGGCTGACCATGGTTCGAGTCCCAGACCTGGCAGCTTGCTTTCTCACTTTGCCTCTCTCTCTCTCACACTCTGTCCCTCTCTGGTCAAATTAAAATAAATAAATAAAATAAGTCTTTAAAAAAATAATTCCTCTGTCCAATCACCCATCCCTCCACCTCTCCCTCATTCCTTTATCCAGTCATATATGCAATTGACACATCCATCCAGTCGTCTATGCAGTAATACAACTATTTAATGATACATCTCTCCATCACATTACACGTCCGGCCCTGCCTCCATCCACCATCCAATGACCCATCCACCCAGTCACCTGCCCAGTGGTACAATCATCCAGTTATCCATCCACCCACCTATCCTAGTCTGAGCCACGCCTTACTGGGCTGGTCACCTGAGCACAGTCCAGGGAGGACTGTACTGAAAGGAGAAGCCCAGGATTGCCCCCCATAAGCCCTTGGCTCCTTCACCTTACTGAGAACCCGACACAACCAGTTCTCTATTCCCCTCTAAATCTAGAGGATATCCAGGCCAGAGTCACTTGCCCTCCTTCTTGGAGCTGATGAGACAAAATATTTCCGCAAGTAGAAATCCTAATGGTTTGCAAAGAGCTGTCACCAGCATGTACGCATGGGACTCCTTCCAGCAGCCCCAGAAGGAGGCAGTAGAGTCAATGTCACCTCACCAGTTTATAAATGAGGGCACTGAGGTCTTGAGAGACAAGTCCAAGGTCACTTGACTAAAAAGAGGTGAAACTGGGACTTGAACCCAGACATCTGGACCCATGGTCAAGTGTTCTCTAGGCTGTGGCTCTCTCTTCCTGTTAGGGACCATCGGGAGGATGCTTAGCTGGCTCTGGGCCTGCGGCGTGCGTGGATTCCACTGGGTCTTCTGCCCTGTGTGGGCATCTTGTGCGTCATTGATTGAGTGCACCTGGAGACAGGCTGACTTCAAGCATTCTGGTTCCTTCCAAGTACCCCACCCTTGGCTCTGTATATGTTGGGCTCTCGAGAAGCCTCAGGCTTCTGTGTTGTAGGACCTGGCCTCGTTCAGCCCTGGACACTGAGTGACATCAATAATCCCATAAAAGGACCTGGAAAGACTGGCTTCCAGTGACACAGGGAAGGAGACAATTCAGTGTTCCAGGTGGGGGACAGTAGGGTTCTTCGTTTCTATTAAGTCACCTCACCAAGAACCTTCATGGGGGAGGAAGTGACTGTCAACCATTGCGGTCATTTGGGCCTGTCTTGTCCAGGCTTCAGATTCCGAGAGGACAGTTTTTATTGGTACCCGTGGCTGACATTGCCAAGGTAGCTCACAGCTTGGTCTTCGGCCCTCAGAGATCTTTCTATGAAAGGTGCTGGGTGAAGTTCAAATATAACCAGGCGTTCTGTCTGAAGGGGGCGAGGTGTCTGCCCTGAGCTGATGCCCACTTCGGGGAAGGAAGCAGATGGGACAGTTTCCCAAGTGTCCGCTTGTCGTTAACCACCAGCAGGGGCTCAGCTCTCTGGAACTCGCTGCCTATTTGTCAGTGTAAGAGTCGCCGCTCAATAGAATACCTGATTAAAAGGCAATTTATCCTCTCATCCAGGTGCAGACACACACCGCTGCATCTCTGTCTGATGACCCTTGTGCAGGGCACCTTCTGTTGGCTTGCGGGGGGGTCCCCCTCTGTGGATTGATCGCATTTCAGCTATCTGGGTCTCATGCTGAGGGATTTTCAGCTCCAAAAGACATTGCTCTGAGCCCTCCTAAGGTCAAAGCGGGCTTGGGCAGGGATGTCCCCTCTGAGGGGTTCACTGTGTATGTTCCAGAATCTCCCCTGCAGATCCCAGCTGAGGATGGATCGGAGGAACCAGGCTCTGAAACCTCTGATGCCAAGAGCACTCCGACAGCCGAAGGTGGGGCCTCCCTCCTGTCATTGCTTCATCCTGACAGCTCCCTCCATGCCACCACCGTGCTTAGCCATGCTTCGAGCCCCCATCCTGGCTGCCCACCACATGCACCCCTCCTGGCTGCCTGTGCTGCTGCTTTCGCTCTGGCTGAGGGCTGTGCTCACTTGGCACTTTGCAGGAGGGTAGCATACGGGAGCTGAGCAGGCTTCCATGCCTCGCTGGCCGCACAGCGTGGGTGCCTTCCACCTGTGTGTGCACCGGGGGCCGCCATCTTGCAGGGCTGAGATCCGGGACAAAGCAGGGTGCACATCAGCTCTGCAAAGCCTCATTCCACATCGAGTATCCTCTCACCCCATCAGATTCCCCCCACACACTCTTCTTTCATGCCACCTGTTCTCAGAGCAGCCACTTGAAGGGAGGGGGCAGGTGAGTGCATGTCCAAGCCTGTGCTTTGGGACGAGCCTTGGTTTGATATCCTTGATTCTTGGACTCTGGGTGTTGCCTGGGCCTCTCAGCCAAAGCGTTTGTTCCACCCCATCTTCTAACCTGTCCTCTCCAGACACTTGGTGTCCAGGTCATCATAAAATTTCTCGTGCATTTCCTGAAGTACCCCCTTAGTCCTGACTTCAACTAGCTTCTCTCGTTTCCCATCTTTGTCACTCAAGACTGAATTGGCTGCAGGAAACAGAAAACCCAGCTCACTGTAGGTTCAAGCATATACCTGAAGAAGTTCGCTTCACATAATGAGGAGTTTAGACTCGGACATCAACTCCCAGTGTGATCAAGGCTCTTCTCTCTTTATCTTCTGTTATCCTTAAAGGCTGGATTGTTGCCTCATGGTTGCAAGATGGCTGCTGCACTTCCAGTCTTCATATCTGTCTTCTAAGCAGGACAAAGTCGCAAAGCAAAGTGGCCCAAAGGGCCCTGAAATCAAATGTATTCTCTTTTTTTAAAAAAAGGCAAGAGTCTTCCTGTAAGTCCCACCTGGTAGACTTCTATTTCGTCTCATTGGCCAGAACTAGGACTCATAGCAATCCCTGGCTGCAAGGGAGGCTAAGACATTGGGTATTTTGCTTTTCCTATTCTTTAGTAGAAGAAATCAAGAGAGGACAACATCCCAGTATCTGCTCCTCCATCTCTCCACCCTCCCTAAAAAGAGTTCAAAGTTCCGTTCTCAGCAGCCCTCCAAGCCCCAACCACTGCTCTGCTGCTGTGGGCTGAGAACCGCCCCAACCCTCCCCAGGCTCCTACCTTAGGGTTAGTTCAGAAAGCGGCTGTCACGTGACCACCAGTTGCTAGGTGTAATGGTGTCTGTGTGGAGGATGTAGTGGGCGTGGCCTCTCTCGGTCTCAGCCAATGAGAAGGACTTCCAGGCCAGATTCCCTTGTCCTCCTCCTTGGAGCTGGTGAGGCAAGATGTTTTCTGCTCAGCTTGTTAGGACAGTTTTGCAAGTTGCCTGCTACCCTGAGAAAGTCCTGAAACTTGATGCCAGACCTCCCCTCCAGACCATGGCTTTCTGTGCTCTGCCAATGTTATTCTGGAAGACTCTAGTGAATTAAAAATTATTATTATTAAATAAATAATTCTTTAGGAAATAAAGACTCTCTCAGCCAAGTCTCATTGCCCTGTGGAACCGGTGCACATGTGGGCCTCGGGAGCTTGGCTCCCGCCACCAGGAAGCGCGCCCTGCTAGGGCGGACTCTGCCTGCTGCTCCACCTGCTGGAGATGACCCTGCTTCAGGGCCCTCATCAGGCTAAGCTGACTAGGCTCCTGGAGAGCCTTGAAAGGTGGCAGTTCCTTATGTGTGCAGGAATGGCCAAGGCGTGCCAGGGGACTGCTGAGGGAGGAGTGGCCATGGGAGTGTCCACCTGTGAGAGACTGACAGCCGTCTCTGGCAGCGGCTCCTGCCTGTGCTGCAAAGGGGGCCTGTCTGCAGGGCCGTTCCTGGGGCCTCGGCC